TTAAATTTAAGTGCAGTTTAAATTAAACTGAACTTAAATATTTTTTAAAAAAAGTTCAGTTTAAGTTCAATATTAAACTTTTAAGTTAAGTTCAGAGTTAGTTCAGAGTCAGTTTGGGTTTAGTTTAAAGTTCATAAACATGTTTAAGTTCAATAAATTATATATATATTATATATTATTAAAAATAATCTACTTTTAATAATAAGCTATTTCTTTTTTTAGAAAAAATATAAAAACTTAGATCTAAAAATAAGCAAGTTATATAATCATCAGTAGTTAATCTATAGTAAGTTAAAATTTTACTAGATAAATTGATCTACTTTATTAAAAAAAAGTTGTTTAGAAGATCAAAAAATATATATTTTAAAAATTTTATAACTTTTATTAATTGACTTTGATTTCTATATTCAATAAATATAAATTTTAAAAAAATTTTAAAAAATTTATTGAATATAAAATATAAAAATATATTAATAAAAAGTAATCTAATTTGGATGAAACTTTTAAAATATATATACTTTGATCTTTTAAAAAGCTTTTACTTAATAAAGTAAATCAATTTATTTAGTAAAATTTTGACTTTACTATAGAGTAACTACTAATAATTATATAAATAAATTATTTTTAGATTTAAAAAATTTTATATTTTTTTCTAAAAAATAGCTTATTATTGAAAATAGATTATTTTTAATAATATATAATATATATATAATTTATTGAACTTAAAACATATTCATGAACTTTATAAATTTAAAATTCAGTTCAAGTTCAGATTCAAAGATCTACAAAATTTAAAGTTCAGTTTAGATTAGAGTTCCAATCCAGATAAATCTGTCATCCATTTATCCTTATCTGAATTTATCCAGATATCCATTTACTATTGATATCCAGATAATCTGACAAATATTCAGATAATTATCTGGATATCAATAGTAAAACAGATATCTGAATAAATTCAGATCTGGATATCCAATAGATAAATAAATAAACAGATAATAGATTGGAACTCTAGTTTAGATTTAATTGAACTTGAACCTAAACCTAAATTGAACTAAACTAAACTTCAAAACACTAATGCTAGATATTGTATAATATCTCTTAAAAAATAAATACTTTTTTTATAGTTATATAACTAAAAATATTATTTTTTTTAAATTATATAGAGTGCTTCATATTAAAAAACCTATTTTGTAATAAAAACAATTTGAGATAATTGGGATTAATTATTTATTTTAATATTTAAACTGATTTAAAATTAAGCAAATTTCATAATTTTGATTAATTAAAGATAATAGGTAACTATTAGGTAATCTTATAATATACTTAGCCTTAAACAGTTTTATGTAATTTTTTTTATACTATATCTATTTTTTATTATGCAAATCATCTTTTATTTATAATTAAAAAATATTACTATATTAAAATTTACATAAATTTAATAAAAACTCATTTTCAAAAAATTTATAAAATGTGCTCTTTTAATATAAAACACTCTATATAACTTCTATTTTTAGAATTTGGAGTATTTTTTTAATGTCATATAGCTAGACAAAGTATTAGTAAAAATAGAAGATATATTATAAGTGTGAATAAAATAAAAATTGCCTTATAAGATTTTTATATGCTTTTTGTCATATAGAGGTAACCTTTACTATATTTAATTCTTTTTTTTAAAAAAATGCATCTTGTTATAAAAGCATTTTCAATTACATTTTTATTTGTTACACCCATGTTTGTTATATAGAGGTAGCCTTTACTATATTTAATTCTTTTTTTAAAAAAAAATGCATCTTATTGTAAAAGCATTTTCAATTACTATAAATATATAATATTTTTTGTTTTTATATACAACAATTTTTTCTTTTATCTTCATACATAACATTTTTTTCTTTATTTTTATATGTAATATTTTTTTTATCTTTATATATAACATTTTTTTCTTTGTCTTCACATGTAACTTTTTTGCTTTTATCTTTATATAATGAGTAAAGAAAGCACATTCAAACAACCTAATAAAATAAATAAAACTTACCTTCAAATCTATTTTAACATTATCACAGCATATACAACAAATAATCCCTCAAAATGATTTAAAACTGATTTTTTCTGGGATGAGCTTGTTGAAAGTAGTGGCAAGTAATATTGCAAACATTACAATCAAACATCTTTAATGAATACAGGTCTTTCTATGTTAAAAATGCATTTTAAATGTAATTATCTGAATAAGTAAATAAATTAATAAGAAGTATTAGTAAAACAAATGTTGAGCCATATAGATCTGAAAAAAATTTTGGCGCAAGCCTTTGTTGGAAAACGTGATATGAATTGGGTATGATTGAATATATGAGGGTCAAAAAAAAAATCACTGCAATGAAATATAATATATTTTTTTGTTATTTTTTGGGGTGTTATGTCATAATCAATTTTATTCAAATTAAACCTCAGTTAGCAAATCACGACTTGAGAATCATGATCATGAATTGCCAGATAACACAAATATTGAGTCATGCATTGATAAATATTGTAAAATTTGTCCAATTGTGTAAATGATTGGCTGCGCAGCACTGTCAGCCAATTATTTGCCCAATTGGTCAAATTTTGCGATACTAATCGATGCATGATCAATATTATATACATATTATAAATATTAAGCGAAATATACACATAATTTATTATATACTATAATCAGCAAGTTTTAAACCAACATGTTTAAGCGCACATACTTAATTATAAATAGTTTAAAGCAGATTTTGAAACCAAGTTTTAGAGTGTCCAGAGCAGGGCTAAAATGACATATAGTAAATTCCAGTTATCCAAAATATCTAAATTAAAAGTAATATATTAACAAAGGCAATAGCATTAAATAACTAATAAAATTTGCTTATTATACTATCAGCTATTGTTCTTGATCGCAATAATTATGCATTAAGAATAACACTTTGAATGACCGGAATTTACTATATGTTGTTTTAGCCCGATCTAGGGCTGTAGTTGAAAAATTCTGCTGCAATTATTGTTAAATTAGCAAATTCTGCGGTGACGTATAAATAATACTTTAAAAAAAATATTACAACAAAAAGAAAATTCTAATTTGATCACAATAAATTATATTCACCAATAATTTTTATTCTGCTTGCTGAATTCTGTACAAATTCTGCCACCGCAGTACCCTGGACACTCTACTCAGTTTATATATGTGTTTCCAAACAGTGTTCGAACGAGTTTTAAAGCACAAACTACCAGATTTAAGCAGGATAATATTCCTAGTTTGACTGTAAAGGGTGACTTTGGTTAGTGCACTACGATAATCAAATACTAGTTGATGTAATATAAAAACAATTAAATATTTAAAATATGCAGTTATTACTTACGTGTACTTTTAAAGAATAAATATCAACTTGCAGAATTAAAAAAAAAACCAAAATAAGTTTGCGCGAAGACATTTTTTATTAATTATTAATATATTTAAAAATTTCGAAAAAAAAAGGAATTACTATTTGTTGATATTTCAAAATTTTGATTATAAACCACACTTTCGGGTTTCTAACAAAAATCTTTTCTGACCCTAAAGCTAACTTTACCCTAACATTAAATCGGGTTTAATGTTTGACTGTTATACGAATTTGTAAATCAATTAATTAATACCTATATTCAAACATCCTGTGTACAATATAGTTATTTTCTAAAAAAAATCTTTAAATAATGATTTTTACTATATTTTGCCATATGTTTGTGATTAAACTGATTGGTGATATGCAACTTTTTGTATATCATCACTAGTGTTCAAAAGGGCCAGGCCTGGTCAGTCACGGGTCAGGCCTGCATGGGTCATTGGCTGACCCGGGCTGGCCTGCGGGCCTAATGATGTATATATCACGTGCCTAATTTTAGATCAAGATGTTCATAATATATACTAATATGTACGTATGTACGTACGTACAAGAAAAACTTTTTTAAATGACAATAAAAGAATCAAGCATAAAGAAATATTTATTAATTTGAACTGGCACTTACAAACCATAAAGGATTAAGCGCCAAAAAAAGGGTATTTAATTGGAAAGTAAGAAATTGTTATTTATTTTTATGGATAAATTTATATATAGCCACAGCTACATATAGCCTGCTCTAATTCTAGTACAAAAAAAAAGCTATACTAGTACTTGCCCTATCCCTAACTATATTACGACTATACAAAGCCGGAGGCTATATTATATATAACTTTTTTTTTCTATTTTTTTTTTTTTTAATCCATTACCAGAAGGGCGCTAGTTGGTGTACTTCATTTTTTCTATTTTAAATGGACTATGTATTAAGAATCAAAATTTTAATTTTTAATTTCTTTTTCAAGCCAACTTTTTAAACATAAGCTGGCACGTAGTGTTGATGGTTTCAATCTATTTTTTCTTTTATTATAAGTGTTGCTAGCAACACTGAAAGCTTGTTCACAACTTATACTTGTAGCCTGTAAGACTAAATAATCTTTCACCATTAAACTTAATATAGGAAATTCATTAGCATGACAAAAGCACCAAGTTAATGTCTCGATCCCAAGATCCTCAGATAACATCAAATAGCGATCTAATTCATTATTCTGTGAACTAAGCAAATGACTGATTACACAAGATTTGCGATTATTAAAGCGGACAAAATATTCATGTAAATTTTGTGACATTTCAGCAGATGTTAATGAAATGGTAGGGGTAATATTTGGATTATGTTGAAGATAAGTATAAAAAACATTTTTAATTGTATTAATAGCTGTAATCTGTTTTTCTCCTTCAAAATCTGACAATTTATATCTTGGATCTAGAATAGTTGAAATGGTATATTGATCATCTATTAATTCCCAATATGATTCAATTTTTTGAAAAATAGATGCTGCCATTTCACATTCTTTGAATCCATCTTTACCAATATAATTGTCAAGATGTGTTTGAATTGCTAAAAAAACATGACGAACTAATCTCATCGTGGAATATGATGAAGCAGAAAGAAGTTTTGTTACTTTTTCCATTGGTTCTAGTAAGATTAATGTATCGTCGATATGTTGTAAGTCTTCTAAGTTTGGGAAAATTTCAACTAACTCATTGTGGTTTATGATTAACATTTTTAATACATTTTCAATTTTTTTAAACTTATTAAGCATATAAAATGTACTATTCCACCGAGTTTCGATATCGATTTCTGGAGCTAAATAGATAATGTTTTTTATATTACACAATAACTGCAGCTCATCACACAATACTATTGAATTTTTAATTTTTGACATCAAATTTCATACTTTGTTAATAGATATATCAATTAATTCTAACCCTTGCTTTACAGCTAGATTAATAATATGTGCTGCGTAGTGATATGAGCAAATGTACTATTATTAAATTCTTGAATTAGTTGTGTACCTAACTCTCTGCCTAGGGCGATCATAGCAGATTCATTATCAGTCGTCAGTCCAATGATTTTTTCATTAAAAGAGAATTCATTAAGCAGATGCGTAAATTGGCTTACAAGGTTTTGTGCAGTATGGCGCTTATTAAGTGGAATGATATCTAACAAAAAATGTTCAAGTTTCTAATCTGTATTTAAAAAATGAATAGTAACTCCCATAAACGCCTCATTATTTATATTTGATCATAAATCAAGAGTAAAAGCTATTTTACTCTGCATTTTTGTTAACTCATTTTTAATTTGTATTCGACGCATATTGAATTCTAACATGATCATATTTTTAATTTTTAACTGATTAGGAATTTTATACTGTGGATCTAATTTATATACGAAATTTCTAAAATATATATTGGTTACCACCGAAAATGGTTGTTGATGACACACTACCCATGCTAATAAACAAAAATTTCGCTCTTTCTGATCACTTTGACTATGCGAATAAGGTTGTTCAAATTGCAACTTTAATTGATACAGTTTTCTAACTTTAATACTATGCTTACGTTCCAAATGTCTTCGCAATGTGGAAGTTGAAAATTTTTTTGTAAATTTTTTATTACACGTTAACAATGTGAAATATCATTATTTTTTTTAAAATAACTCCACACGGGAGATAATGTTGATGTATTATGTGAATCTATATTACTTGCAGATTCATTAGGTGCAATACTACTGAATGAAGTAAATTATCTGAAGCTTCATCAGTTGATACATCTTCTATATCACTCAAACCGTATAATTCATCTGTGTTATTTTCTAGTTCGGTTGGATTTATATCTTCCATTTACTGTATTTTAAAAAGAATTTGAACACTCGAATATGATAAAGAATTAATGTTGTAGATGATTGTGAATATACAAAGCGCATATACTCACCTTATTTATATTAATTTCACTTTTTTTTTTGTATTTTTGTTATTATAATCAAGCCTTTTTTTTTTTTTTTTACTACATATAAAAGTTCAATTTAGCACATTAAGGTCAGAACTTTTTTAACAATCAATTAATTTAGCTTCATACAATGCTTTTTCAGGTCATGAATACTTTTCCAATAAATTTACAACCACCTAGTTCAAGTAACATATTAACGCCAAGTTCTAATATATTAGGGCTGAACTTTAATATAACCAAGGCCTCGTTCAATTTGCTAAAGTATAGTCCATTTCAAATATTTAAGTCAGTACTAAAACGCCTATAGTAAATAATAAAGTTTCAGATTTTACTGCTGATATAAATTAGAGCGCCCAGGGAACTGCTGCTCTAACCGACAAATTCTGCTGCAATTACCATTAGATTTGAGTGTTGTCAAAAAAAAACCAACAACTCTAAAAATAGATTATTATGAACATCATAGTAATATATTTTAGAATTGTAGGTTTTCTTTTAACAATACTCATTTGTGAGTTCTGTGGTGACATATAAATAATATTTTAAAATCTAAATCACAACAAAAAGAAAATTTTAATTTTATTACAATAGACTATTTTCGCCAATAATTTATTATTCTGCTTGCAAAATTCTGTACAAATTCTGCGCAGATTTTGCCATCGCAGTATATTGAAAACTCTAACGAATTAAAAGTACTCTCTGCAAATGGCCAATAATATAGATTATTTCAGCATTGATTTCTACCTATTAATGTTATAACAAAAAATATCAATAAAATAAAAAAAATAAAAAGGATTATATAATAACATTTACCTTATTCAAGCAATTTGGCAGGGCAAGCTTCAATTGACTGATCGTCTATTTATTATTATTGAAGTATAATTTACTTTCAATATTTATATTCATTAAAGTAATTAATTTAAAATAATGGTAATAATAAACTATAATTCCACTCACCTATAGCAAGGCCAAATTCCAATTCGACCAAGGCCCTATCTATTAAAGTATAATTAATAACAATTGTAATTACATATAATAAATACAATTATAATAAAAATAAAGATTATAATATCACTTACCAATGTTTTCTAAAATATGATTATTCTCGTCTAAATAACTTATATATGAAATATACGTATTTAAATGAAACTTTAATTGATATTCTCTATTTTTTATCCAATATAATTAAAGTTACACAATTTAACTTAAAATTATAAAAAAAGTGTCTTGTAATAAACTGTAATGATAGTTATTATGATTAGCTAAGGTTTTGCAGCACTTATATAGTGTTAACTTAAGGCTTGGATCTGTTATCATTTAATATATAGTGAAATTAATATTAAATAGATAATAAATCCAAGCTTTTGACCAATTTATAATAAATAACCCTTCATATTATTGCAATTCTAAACGTAAATTTTTATGGTTTTAGACAGGATCAGCAATGAAGCTCAATGGAGTCTATGGGGCTCTGAATGAAGCCAATAGATACTAGTTTATTGAGCTCCATTCATGTAACCATTGAGCTCCATGAATTAGCCAAGGCAGCCCCCAAAAGTGCCAGTTACGTATCACTTTAACAATCGAGTAATACTATATATATTAAATCATCGCTTATTGTTAAATATATAGTATTATCTGATTGGTGAAAATGATTTACGTCACTGGCACTTTGGGGAGGCTGCCCTGGCTAATTCGAGCTCCATTGACTCCATTGTCAACCCTAGTTTCAGTTATTCAAAGGCCATATGATGATATAGAAATTCTGTGCTTAAATGCCAGTCTTTTTTTACAATAAATATTTTATATAACAAGCCAATATAAATAGTAACACTGGTAAATTTAGAAGTTGAGAAGCAGAATTCAAATGGCACTCAACCTATCATTCAACTTGCTATTCATATATGTCTGTATAGTTATAGAATATGTTGAACAGCAAGTTGAATAGCAGATTGAGAGCTGTTTGAGAGCTGTTTGCATTCTGCCATTCACTATAGATATGCTGAACCTTTTAATCTAAATATTTTTATATTATAAATCTAATGTATGTGTTATTCTTGGGTACCTACAGGCATTGTTTCAAAATCAAATGGGTTATTGCGTAATGTTATGAGTATTCGGGCCAAATTTCTTAAATTGAAATATTGATGTTCAATCAATTTTAATAATTAGAATTTTGAAAACTTTGAACGAGAATTGTAGTAAGTTGTTAAATAATATTATATAACCAAACTTGCATTAATGGTAGAGTATCTACTCAAGAATATGGTCCAATAAATTATCAAAGTTTGATCAAAAGTCTCGAATACTCATAATATTATGCAGTGATCCAAATACGAAGAATATGATTTTTATAATGAAGTATGTATATCTCTATAATTAAAACGAATGAGTTAGCTGTGGAGTTAATGAATTCAATAGGGCCAATTGGGTCAATGGAGTCAATGGAGTCAATGGGACCAATGGGGCCAATAGGGTCAATGAAGTTAATAGGGCCAATAGGGTTAATGAAGCTCAAAATACTACTACTGATGAACTCTATTTAGAGCTTCATTAGGCTCTATTGTTAACCCTAAGCAGGATTAACAATTATGCCATACTATTGAGAATAAATATATTACGATAGGGAGAAACTCATGTCAGAGGTGATTACATTATTGATGCACATCACTACCTAAATGACATCTAACCCTAATAAAAAATAGATCTGCATCAAGAAAGTAACCTAAAAAACACGAGTTTCACCCTTTTCATATCCACACTAATTTACAAAATCAACGTGGGTTTCACCTTGTCCTAATATATTAATAAATATTGCGAATAATCGTAAAATCTAAAAACTCTATTGGCTAATTACTCTATTAACCAATAAGATGTGTTAATTATATATTAATTTCACAGTTATCTGAATTTTAGCATTATCCATTGTCACACTCGAACTGCACCTCTTTATGGAAGTTCAAGGGACATATAGGTTATACGTAGTGTAAAACTATGACCTTGTGATTTTTGGCTAAAATAAAGGTGTCGATATATGACTTATCAAAGGGTTTTTCTAAGGCTTTTATCGAAAGAGGCAAAAACTAAGTGTATATGAGGATACAAATAGTTATAATAATTATGATAAGTAAATAAATAGGTGAATATTTATTAGTTTATATACTGATTATGTAAGCTCACAGACATCAATGTCTGCGAAAGTCTGTGACGTAATTTGATTTGTATAAGATTTATTCAACAAATAAGTATTGATCGTGAAGTGTCTTCACGATAGCTACATGATCATGATCGTTATGCCACTTACCATTGTACTTTATTTTAATGTGTATAAAAGCACGCCTAAGTTTATTGTAAGTAATAGTAAAATAGATACAATAATAAGAATATGCTTTGTAAGGAAAAGGGGAGTCGAGTATGCTTTTTTTTACCAAGGCAAAAGGTGAGGTTTTTTTATACCTATTTGATCAAGCTTTGATATTTAACCCTTTGGCTTTTTTAATATCTAATAGTAATTATAGCTCTTGCTAATCTAATGACTACAGCATGAAAGTTATAAAGACATGCGATGAAAAGAAATAACATAATGCAGCACGAGCTTACCCATATGGGACCGAAGAGATCAATATTCGATCCTTGTTCATCTTCATGTTGTATTCAAAATCAGGTGACATGAATACCCATGATGCTCTTGATAGAAATCTAATGTTGACAATAAATTGATGTCTATTTTGTTATTCATTGAATAAAAATACCAATTATTAGTTTGCTTTTTTATTTATCAAATAAAATAATAATAGGTACTATTTAGGAATACAGTGCAGTAGCATATAGAAACCATTTGCTATTCCGCTGCATATCATTTGAAGTATCTTTTTTGATACATTCAAGCTATTTGTTGTTTTTAACAATAGATATAAAAAGCGGATATTAGTTTGGTTTTTAGACTACTAGAGTTTTAATATCAAGAATGATACTTATTAAATAGCCGGTATTTAATATACAGCCGGATCTCTCTAAATATATTGTGATGGAACCAGAAGCAAAAAAATTCTATAAGTATTATATTAGTCAGGCCCAAGCGAAGGTGTGAGTTTAGGGAGGCGTTTAAGGAGTTGCACTTAGAGAGTATCTAGTTTTAGCCTTGATGCTATTTTAAGTATATTCATTCATATTATTAGCCAATTAT